ACTCTCCTCTCTTTCTCCAAAAATTCAAGACTCTAAAAAAGACTGGCTCAGTTTTTGGAACTCTTCTCTCATCTTCCTCAAGCTTCCTTCTATCTTTTTAAGCATGTAAACTTTTTTCTGGTTTTTCTGGAGAATTTTGTCTATCTCAGTTTGATCCGGAATTTCTGGTTACACCGGAATTCTTAAATGATGATTGGCTCAAATTTAGGACTGGTTGATCTACATGTAGCAAGAAATATAAACAAGACACATAACTTCTATGTGCCCTATCTTGTACAACACAAAACCTGATAATACAATTGGATATAGTAAAAAGAGCAAGGCAACAAAGTACTCTTTTTGTTAAGAAGTGTTATGGTATTTCCCTTCTTCTCTTGAACTGGTTTCTTTTCTCTTCAAGATCAAAAGAAGTCTCATTCCAATCCAATAAAAAGCTTCTTCTTTTGTTGATTATTCCAAGAAGGCAGCAAGCATTAATATAAGTCTTGTCTCAAGCAATAATTCCCAATAAGTATAAGACTTGTTTCAAGTAGCATGTAAGTCTTGTAATAAGTACCTTGAACGTTCTTGGTCAACAAGAGAATGATAGAAATTAAATAGTTTGCCCAGCTGCAGGTAGTGGTAAAGGATTTATCCTAATAGACTGAAGTTGATATTGGAGGGTTTTTATTTACCAGAACAAACTTTTCATTTACCCTTTTTACACTCTTTTTTTTTTTAAAAAAATAAAAAATTTTTACTTCTTAGGACTACAGGTTTGTGTTGGGATGACAGTCTGAATGTAAGCTGGCAATGATTTTTCTTAAGGCCAAGAAGTGGTCTTAGAAAAGAAGTGATTTTATCATTCACGCTTAGAGAGTTAAGATTTAAAAAGTTTAAAATAGTTAATATCATGCAGCAATAACTTAATGAACCAACATTCTTGTAGTAAAATAATTAGTAAATAGCTAAATTATGTGGGCAACACAGTGGTCTTGATATTAAGGATTCAAGGATCACATACAAATCTAAAAATAACTTGTCAACGGGTATTCTGCAATAAGACACAGTTTAGCTCTAGTATAAAATTCCAAGATTTAATGTACTATTGTTTTATTTGTACAAAAATCAATAATTAATAAACACAGTAATTGCAGTCTGATTAGAGACAAAAAAAATAAATAAATAAATAAATAAATAAATAAATATTTTTTTGAATTCTAAGTAAAGTTGTTTAGCAATTAAAAATACTATGGATCTATTATTAACAACTTAATGTATTTAATCTATTTTTGACATGAAATTTTCTATTTCAAAAAAGTTTTTTTTTTTTTTTTTTTGAAAAAAGCAAATGGCTATCACGCTTTATTATATTTATTATACTTTCACTTACATACAGGGTAAGGTACAATAATCAATAGCATGACATATGTCTCTCTTTGCTAGAAAGAGTTTAACGCAAGACTCCCGTATGGGGCCAGACCCCTGTGCTCTTTTAGCACCACCCAAGGAATATAGACAAAAAGAAATTCAAAATTCTATATCGAATTATGAATGGTGTCCAGCTATCTGGAATTAAATGAATACCTAATTACATGAAGACGCTGCAGCCAATCTATACAGGTTGGCCTCCAAGTTATGATTAAGATTGGTACGCCTGCTTTCCAAATATGGCTTGATGTACGGCAAGCAGAGTAGTATTGGAGGTGATAGGAAATGAATACCTTTTTGTATGAAGGCGCTGCAGCCACTTTATACAGGTTTGCCTCCAAGTCACAAAAAGAATTTGGCACACCCATGCTTCAAGTGTGGCGGAAGTGTCCTATAGGTGGAGTTCTTATTGGTTTTCTTAATGACACTGGAACTAGGGCTTCTAACAATACCACTTCGATATCACTTCAATATCAGTTCAATACTTAAATTTACTATAAAAATATATGAGTATGTCACAACTCATATATTAAATTTACTATAAATCGGTACCATTTCAATACCAGTTCGATACTTTTTCAGAGCCCTAGCCAGAATCTAATCTTGTACAATAGACCTACATTGTCGGAAGGGTGAGCGAGAAACTTCTGTTGTCGTCACCAGCTCGTGTTGCGGGATAACTAGAATTCCTGGTCGTCACGTATTACCTTACTAAGTTCCCCAATCACCAGCATAACACTTGCAACTAACCTAGCTTATTGCTAATTGTATTAGCATTGGCTGCTATTTCATTCTGGATACTGTGGGTGTAACTCCTTGGGTACTTTTGGATAATAATAGTTGTACAGAGATTTCTTGGGTATATTTAGTCTAACCGCCGATTGGTAAACAATATTAGGTTTGGTAATGATAACCATGTCGATCTTTTGGAGAGGTAAGCTGTCTGTTCTTTTTCTAAGGAGCCATGGAAGAGAGAAAAATTCTTAAAGCCCACATCCTAAGAAAGATTACTGTTTTTTAATATGATTATTGAGAAAAGGGAGTCAACTGGCCAGAGGAGTGATATTATGGAGACAGAGTTTTCAAGAGAGAGAGAGGCCTAGGGAGAAAAACCTTCAGGGAAAAGGGAAAAACCTAATTTCGGCAGGAAAAAAAGGGGAAAAAGGAAGAGAGGGGTAAAAGTAAAAAAAAGGAGTATATAGAAGAGAGAAGAGAAGATAAGAGAAGAGAAATAAAGAGATATGGGGATGAAAACAAAGAAAAAGTAAACAACTTAAAGATTTCCTAAAAAGGAAATTTTCAAGCGTAAAAAGAGAAGTGGGAAAGAGTTTTTTTTATAATTGCAAACTCCAATTCTACTATTTTTTATTATAACTGTTCCAAATATCGTTAATATAAAATTATTTATTAAAATATTCAAAGAATTAAAGTATAATTTTAAAACACTTTCAAGATTTTCAAATCCTTATTCATGATTTTCATTGTCTTTTGAAAGATTTTGAAGTACTTCATTTATCGAATTGTTTAAATTTTTTGATTCGAATTCCCATAGTTTATTTGAAAATATAAATACTTTTGGGCAATTGTTTAACCTTTAGAGCTTTGTATAATTTTGTTAATTATTATTTTTAATTTTTAAGTATATAATATAAATTCATTACTTTTGAAATAGTATAAGTTTTTTAGATTTTTTTTGAATTTTATAAATACTTAAACTTTAGTATAAATTGGTATAATTTAATTTGGATTTTTTAAAATTTCATCATGTTTAATTAATTTTAATAAAAAATATACAGTCCTAAGCAAAAAAAATTGGAATTAAATTTAGATATTCATATTTGAAAATATAATAATATTATTAATTTTATTGAATTTTGATTTGAAAAAAAAATTGTTTTTTTTAAATGTTATCTAAATAAATTATAATAAATATATAATAAAAAAATTCTTTAATTATTTTAATATATAATTTTTTTAAATAAAGATATATAAAATTATAAAATAGTTTTTTTTATTTGTTAAAGATTTTTAAATTGATTAAATCAATTAAATTTTTGTTAAAAACTTATGATTTTATAATAAAGTTAAAATTTTTTTTACAAGTCAAATTTTTTTTAATTTTATAATTAAAATTTTTAATAAATGTGTTATAATAAAGACTATGGTTTTTTATTCTAATTTTATTAGCAAAAACTTGTAATTGTTTTAGAAATCATTTTTAAGAAGCTTTAAATCAATATTTTACAATAAAATTATTAATTAACTATTAATAAAATTTAAAATTTTTATTTTTGAATCTTAATAAATATATATTTCAAATTTTATTTAATTTGAATAAGCAATTATTAAATTATATAAAAAAAATCCAATTCGGTTTTTTTTTGCTCAGGATTGTATGTTTGAAAATTTAAGATTTTAGCAATAATAAAATTATCAAAATTAATTATTAATTATCAAACAATTATTATTTAGAATTTGGAATTTTTTTAATTTTAAAATAATTTTTTTATTTAGTTTAATATATTTAATTATTTATTCTGTTAAAAAACTCTAAATGTAAAGTTTTAAATTATATGTAAATTATTAAAATTTCATTATTTATTGATAAAAAATATTTAAATCCTATTGTACAATTCAAAATAAACTTCAACCAAGAGCATTTCAAATCATTTTATAAATTATTTAAAACAATATATATTTTGTAAATTGTTTTTATTTAATATTAATTAAAAAAAGTGTCAAATTGACTTGATTTTTTTTAGTTTATTAATCATTTGTTTTGAAAATACTAATACAGTATTTGAACTTAAAATTATTATTTACAATAAAATTAATTAGTTCCGGACACCAACAGTTTCTGTTTTTGCTAGTTAATGTAAATGTTATTTTGTATAATATTTGGATATCAAGAATACATAACACTTTTGAATCACAATATTACAAAAGAATTTTTAAAATTGAAATATAATAATGGCGATGAATTAAATAAAATTTTTTTCACTATACCGAGTACAATTATAGTTTAAACGACAATATGATGTCTATACATTCATATGCTGGAAATAGGCTATGCGTATCAGCCCTCATTTGGTCACAGATTATAAGCTTTAACAGTACATAACTTTAATGAAGCGTGGGAACTACAATTTCGTTATCAGGTACAGTATATAAATATTGTATACGTACTCTCAGAAATCGCGGAATCACTTCCAAACATTTTTCCTGGATGAGTTTCTTAAGAAATTACTCTCTTTTTCGTTCTATACCTTTTCACCTTTCTCGAAATTTGTCAATCAGGGGAACATTTAACACCCTTTGTCAGCCCTTGTCCCGGCAATTCTTAGAACAAAGATCGTACACACTTCAAATAAATTCTCGTATAAAAGTGAAAAAAAGAAAGGCGTCCGAACGACTTCAGAAAGTAAAGAAGATTTCAAATGACTCGGAGCATCATGCTGTAGTTAGTACATTCGACTTATTTAGTATTGGCATTGGTCCATCTTCGAGGTTTGTTCTTTTTGCAGATTTAGCTCTTTTAAAGCATTCAACATAATCACATTGAATTTCTCAATAGTCATACAGTGGGACCAATGCGGGCAGCCAAGATTTTTATCACTGATCTGAAAAAGCATAAAATTTTCGACAAGGTACTTTAATAACAATTTAATTTCTTTTCGAAATTTGTTCAAATATTTTAATCTTGCATTCAATAGGTGGATAGGGTAAGAATTGATTTATATGGGTCGCTCGCTTTGACCGGAAAAGGTCACGGGACGCCTGCTGCCATTTTAATGGGAATGGAAGGAGAGATACCCGATAGCATTGATACAACCAAGGTAACTTCAAGAATAAAGAAAATCCAGGAAAACGGTAAATTCTTTGATAATCCTAACCGATTTCAAGGCACAGGATCGTATTGACTATCAAAATAAATAAACAAAATAAATATAGAAATTCTTACTTTGGATGGAGAGAAAGAAATTAAATTCCGTGTCAAGGATCACCTGGTTTTTCATTATAAGGAAGAACTTCCTCAGCATCCTAATGGCATGAGGTTTTTAGCATTTGACAGAGAAGGAGAACCTTTGATTAATGGAGAGTTTTTTTCGATAGGCGGAGGATTTGTGGTGAACGAGATCACTATCCAAAAACATGGTGATAATGTTTTCTACAAGGCTTACGATAAATCATCAGTCGATTTACAACGTTCAAAGCAAGATGAGGCTGTCACATTCGCCGCGTTACCGTTTCGAAATGCTTCGGAGCTATTGCAAGTTTGCAATCGAGAAAGCATGACAATTGCACAGGTCGTTTATCGAAATGAACTTCATTGGAGGAGTGAAAGCGAAATTCGTAGGAAGCTAATGGACATTTGGAATACAATGGATCAAAGTATAAAAAATGGATGCCTGAACGACGAAGAATATTTACCCGGTAGTTTAAAGATAAGAAGAAGGGCACCGGGATTATATAGAAATTTGTTGAAAGGATCGATGCAAACCAATGCATTCGTATCACACAATATCACAAAACCACCAATCGCAGGCGATAGTAAAGAAATAATCGAGTTTCTTTCACATAATACTCGAAAGAAGTTAAATTTGCTAGCGTTAGATTTTCTCTCACTGTATGCCATCGCGGTGAACGAAGAGAATGCTGCTGGTGGACGTGTGGTAACTGCACCCACAAATGGCGCAGCTGGTATAATTCCTGCTGTGCTCAAGTATTATTTGGATTTTATTTCCGAGAATCCTGAGAAAGATATCATGACGTTTTTGTTCACTAGTGCAGCAATAGGTATGATTTACAAGAGGGGTGCAAGTATTAGTGCTGCCGAGATGGGTTGTCAGGGTGAGGTTGGTGTTGGTATGTAGATTTGTTGCATCGTATGCTTATATGATGAAGGCGTCTTAACCGTTTTCAAATAATTCTAGCATGTAGTATGAGTGCGGCAGGACTTGCTGCAGTAATGGTAAGCTAGTCAAAATCATATATACTATATACACGTGCAATACAGAATATAATATGTATATATATTTTAGGGTGCAACTCCAAAACAAGTAGAAAATGCGGCAGAAATAGGGATGGAACATAACCTAGGTTTAACATGCGACCCAATAAACGGGCTGGTACAAGTACCTTGTATAGAACGTAACGCATTAGGAGCCGTAAAGGCCGTAGCTGCTGCACAACTGGCGCTGAACGGCGATGGATATCACAGGGTCACTTTAGACCAAGTGATTGAAACCATGCGTCAAACTGGTATCGACATGAAAAGCAAATATAAAGAAACTAGCCAAGGTGGATTAGCCGTTAATGTTCCTCTCTGTTAGACATCACGTTATTTCAATCATCAAATAATAAAATATTTTACACTTGACTTCGCTGTGATTGGCTGATCGGCATATTTGAAATGATCCGCCCTCTTTTTTTTTTTCTTAATGTTCAAATTTCGTCCACACCACTTCATAAGCTCTCATAAATTTTATGATCTCTTGTCACATGGATCATGGTTAAGAAGCAGAAAACGCGTTTCAAAATTTTACTCGACGTCTAATGGTAGAATATTCTTTTTAATAAATATAAATCGATTTTCACGTGATATTCGTTCTTTGATTTTTTTTTTGACACAAGTAGGTTCAAGAGCTTTTATGTAATTTACTCGAATTTTCTTTAACACGTCAGATTTTACAATCGCCAAAACCCGGAACATTGGAATTATAGCACACATTGATGCTGGTATCTATTATTATGTTTTGTACATTTAATATAATACATTTTTTCTTAATTCGACCTAAAACATAAAAGATTTATGAAACTTCTTTGTAATAATAGGCAAGACAACAACTACGGAGCGTATGTTGTATTACGCAGGATTTACAAGGAGGATAGGAGGTAAGTAGCTCATTCTTTACCGTTCAATGGGAATTTACGGCTAATACCTTTTATTCAAAGACGTGGACGACGGAGATACTGTCATGGATTACATGAAACAAGAACGCGAAAGAGGAATCACCATAACCTCAGCTGCTATCACATTTGGTTGGAAAAACTACCGGATAAACCTGATAGACACTCCAGGTCATGCAGATTTTACCATTGAGGTTGAACGTAGCGTGCGTGTACTCGATGGAGCAGTAACGATATTAGACGCTGTTTCAGGAGTAGAAGCTCAAACCCAGACAGTTTGGAAACAAGCAGATCGTTATGGTATACCAAGAATTGCTTATGTCAACAAGATGGATAGGGTAGGTGCTGGATTCGGGCGGACAGTTAAAGAAATGAGATATAAGCTTGGTGCTAGGCCGTTGGTTTGCCAAATACCTGTGGTAAAAAAAGATAAAGGAAACAGTTCATTCACCGGTGTAGCTGATCTTCTGAACATGCAAGTGCTAAATTGGGACGATGATCCAAATGGTTCTGTTATTAGTAAGACGCCGTTAACTGAAAAATATCCGGTATCAGGATTGTTTGAAGAGGCGATCAAAGGTCGGTCAAGTTTAGTGGAAGCTCTGTCCGAGATGGACGATCACATATTAGAGTTATTCTTAGAGGCGGAAGATCATATGAAGGTCACTGCAGGAGATATTAGACAGGCATTAAGAAGGGTAACCATAAACGGAAAAGCCGTTCCCGTTCTTTGTGGTGCATCGTTTCGTAATATCGGCGTACAGTCATTAATGGACGCAGTAGTCGAGTACCTACCTTCCCCTTTGGATTGTCCACCTACTTTGGCTACTTTGCCGAATAATCAACTAGTCAAAATTACGCTAGGAGGGAATGAGAGATTGTGTGCTCTTGCGTTCAAGGTCACACATGATTCTAAACGCGGTCCAATGACTTTTGTTCGAGTATATTCTGGTAATAGTTCAATAACACATTCTAATGACTTTGAGGTTTAACGATTATTTCTAAATCATTTGCCTTAATACAGGTAAACTTGATAATCGAATGGCGTTGTATAATACAAACACACGTAAAAAAGAACGTGTTAATAAATTATTACAGATGTATGCAAATGACGTAGAAGAAATTCCATCAATTACCGCTGGTAATATTGGTGTGATCATAGGTCTCAAAGAAACGAGAACTGGGGACACTCTAATACAATTTGACGACACGAGGAAAAATCTTAAATTACAGAATATTGAGATTCCTGCACCGGTATTTTACTGTGCCGTAGAAGCAGCTGGATTATCTGATGAAAAGCCACTTGAGGAAGCACTCAATAATATATTAAGGGAAGACCCCTCTCTTCATGTTCATGTTGATCCAGATTCTGGGCAAACCTTGATTAGTGGTATGGGTGAGCTTCATTTGGAAATTGTCAAAGATCGTTTAGTTAACGAATTTAAGGTGAATGCGGAATTGGGTAAAATGCGCGTATCATATAGGGAGACAGCGACAACAGAGCATATAGATTATACCTACCTATACGATCGAGAAATTATGGGAAAAAGAGCAAAGGCGAAAGTTTCTTTGACCATTACACCATTGCCCCAAAATGACCGTGGGTTACCTGAAGAAGGAGGAAATAGAATAATGTTTGAAAACTTTCGAAAAATCGAAAGTGTACCAGGAACGGATCAAGGAGTCAATAATCAACGACAAAATAATATGGATACTAAGCTTTCAAATGAGGAAATTGAAAGTGTGCTACGTACTGGAATAATATCAGGGCTGTATAGAGGTCCGATCCTTGGATTTCAAATTACAGGGCTTTTGATAAAGATATGTTCAATAGAACTGTATGGTGTCGAATCATCTAGAATGGCAATTAGTTCTTGTGCAAGACAAGCACTTATTTATGCCGTTAAAGAAGGAAAACCCGTATTGCTTGAACCATTGATGAACGTAAATATTGACCTATCAGAAGAATACTTGGGTATTGTCCTTGGAGATTTATCAGGAACGCGTCGTGGAAATATTTTAGGATTAGACACTATTAAAGGTATGTCTGAACAAATCGATCAGAACGTCGAGATATATGTTCCACCCGACTCTACGTACACTTCATCCAGTCAAACTTCAACTTTCAAGTCGAAAAAAGTGATACACGCGCAGGTACCATTGTCAACAATGTTAGGATATTCGTCGGCATTGAGGTCTCTGACTGGTGGGACAGCGTCTTTTGATATGAGAGTTCACTCATTCGGGATCATGAGTGAGGATCGAGCTAAAGCTGTGATTCGCGAAATGCAGGGTAGTTACTGATGTATGCACCTAAAACGTGTTCGTTAATTATATCGAGAAGGTTGACAAGGGATTAAAATTGAAAGGTATTAATTTGAACAAGTGAAAGCGCTCAGCTATTTTGAGGAACGTAATGATCTGATTTACATATAGGAGGTATCTTAGTAAAATCTCATAATTTTAGATTATGGATCTCGATATTGTTTAATTAGGTAAAATACGGACAAGAGCCTTGTAATATATACACATGTACATAAAGTTAGACTAAGATCCGATTTGTAAGTCATCATTCATTCCTAACAATGAAACAACCTTTTATCGCTATAATTCTGAATTATTTTATTGTATCATGAAACTTCGTGTAAACTCTTTAGTAATGAAAGAAATTTTTTTCTCTAATTTCTTTCTCATGAATTCGTAAGAGAACGAATTTACTTTAAAATTATTTCACATAAATCCTTATGCACAAAATCACTAAATGCTATCAGATCATTAAATTTAATAAAAGATCTACAAGTTCCAAATCTATGATTTTCTTAAATTTCGTGTATCTATGTACAAAGTGACCCGATGAATGGTGCCCAACGGCAAAGAAAATTGATTCTATTTACAAGAGCGGGTGCGAATGACGACGTTAAACTAATTTTATTTATGGTCGGGAAGTGAATCCTGTATTATAAAAAAAAATTGTAAATTATTCCAGGTGTCAAGTATTCTAATTTATTTAATCACTATTTTATAAAATGTTAATTACCTCACTGTCAGTGTCCGACAAATCATCATTATCAATAATGAATTGAATTTCCTGAACATCACCTTCATTTTTTTCTTTGATATCCTCTTCTTCCTCTTCGTCTCCTTCCTCGGTTTCTTCTTCGTCGTTATTAATATTTTCGTCTTCTTTCTAAATAAACGAAAAGATTTGTTTTTAATTTAACGCGTAATTATCACAGATACAAGTCGAGTCGATAAGATATTGTCTAAAGGACAATTACCTCCTCGGTTATGTTTTGACGCAAAATTTTTGACTTAATTGGACGATACAACTTGTTCTTTAACTATATAAAATGATGAGAAAAATATATAGGATTTACGCGTTGATTTCGATTTGACACCGTTTCAGTCTTCATGAATTAAGAAGTACCTGAACGACTTCGACTCCTTCTCTGCTTAATTCCACCAGTTTTTCACCACGACTTCTAGCGGCGCTCCGAGTTACACGGGCACCAAAAATTGCTGAACCATTGCTCATAGTAGAATCCTTAGAATTTGAGCGCGTCTTCGTCATGCTTAAACGCGATGAATGATGACAAAAACGAACTGTTTATTGAAATGCAAAAAAAAACTTTACTCCTTATTTTATACTTAAATTTTTACACATGGAATCTTGCTTGATGTGGATATTCTACTTTTGGTTATAGGATTATTTGGTATTTTGTGTGTAACAAATTCTTTGGTAATCTAGTTGCCTTTATCGGCAACATTAATTCTAAGCGCATTTATTTGTCATTTAATTTTTAATTGTATAAAATACCTGTTTTAAAAATTATTTTATTTCAATTTTTTTTTTTTTATAAAATTAAAAATTTATTATTTATTTATTTATTTTAAATTATATTAAATTTTATTGTATATTTATTAATTTTATTAAAAAAAAAAAAAAATTTTTTTTAATAATAATAATTATTATTATTATTAAATTTCTAATAAAAAACCTTTAATAATAGATTAATTAAAATTTAAAATTATTTAAATTAATATAAATTATTTTAAAAATTAAAATTAAAGAAGAAAATAATAATAAATAAGAAATATAATACATAATAAATAATATAATATCAAAGTTTTTTTAATAATTAATATTTATTTATTATTTTATTTAAATTATTAATTAAAAATTAAAAAAATTTATATGTTAAAATAATTTTTAATATTCTTCATTATTGATTTTTTATGTATTGAATTCAAAATGTTTTTTTTTTTTATTGAAAATTTAATAATAAATTTTTAAAACCCCTTTTAAATAAACTTATTCTTTAAATATATAAATAGTAAATTATTGAAAAAACAAGTTTTTTTATCATATACTATATATACAGTATATATTTATTAAATTTATTGACTTTTTTTAAATATATTTTTATATTTGTTACAAATCAATATTATAAAAAATCAAATAATTAAATCATATGTAGTTATGAAGGCATCGACCTCTGAGAAAGAATTTTAGAAAATCAATTATCGTATGTATAATATAAATTTATTATCGAGTTACAAGAAATTTGTAATATAAGTATAAAACATATTATATATATACAATCTTTAAAAGAATATTGTTTATAAGTACTGAAAATGTGATATTCGATTAATGTCTCCGTACAGTTGATCCTCGTTCTAATAACAAATCATTGAATGCATTCTCATAATTTGGTAAATCTCCTATCTCCTCTTCTTTGTCTTTTTCAGCCTCCGCTTTCTTTGAGTCCATTACCTTTTCCCTTGAGGCATCTACCTCGTCAACTATCTTAATATCATATGGCGTTAATACGCCTGGTGGTGGTACGGGTGACGTCTCAAATTTCCTATACCACGAATCAGCAATGGGAAGGGTCTGTTTCATGAACGATTTTGGCATCCATTCAAGAAATTTATGGTATTTTTGCTGTGACTCAAAAGCATCAAGTTCATCTTCGTCGTCAGAGGTTGAGGCAGATTTTGACTTACGAATATAATTATTTATGTTATCTGGAAGTGGATTTTTCCAGCTTTTATCTAATGCATGTGATATTTCGCCAAGTGTTAACCCTGATTTCAGGATCACTCTGCGTACTGGATCATATCTTGCATCTTTTACAGGGTCCGACGGACGAATCTCTAACGTCATATCCATCCAAGGGAGATAATTCATTGCGAAAGTCAATGGGCGATAGAATACCAAATCATCAGACAGAATTTGAGAGTTTCGAATGGGTTGACCGAATAAATCAAAAGTTAAATTATTAGTTGAAGATGATAAGTTTGATTTTGTGGAGGATGTGGATAAAACAGAAGAGGGAGATGATGATAATATTTCTGTTGAAGCATTCGTTGTCGCGGAAAGAAATGGAGATGGTATTGGCGAAAGATGCGGGGAAGAGGGTGGTGAAAAAGCGCCACTATCTGTTGAGTTGTATTCTACTATCATATCCTCATTTTCCAACATCCAACTTAATATATCAGCTCGGGTTCCATAGATCACAAATTTTGTATTTACGGGAGTCAAATGAATCTTTTTGAGTTTAGGTGGAGTTATTATACGAGCAACGTCTCCGGAACTTTCTGAAATGCAAATTTTAATTTCCGTCAGCTTCCTTTCAAAATTTTAATTAAAATTTAAATAAACATACCTCTAGAATATCCGTATTTGACCTCTTTCTTTGGGCAGAACATGATCACGAAAAATTGTAGTTTTTTTTTTAAAAGGGCGCTCTCAAATGCCACCTTTTATATGGTCATCGGTTCATACGGTTCATACGCATACGTAATGAATGCGTCATATAGTTTTCTAAATTCAGTAAATCAAACATTCAAATATCAATGAAAAACGTATGACTTGAAATGTTGATCGATATGCAATACAATGATATTATTCTTGGCATTATATTTTTTTTTAAAATACAATATACAGTATTATTTATGTTACAGTGTTGGCAATAAAAATTAACAATTTTTTTTCATTTGTAAAAAATTAAATTATAAAAAAGTTTTTTTATTAAATAAATAAAATCCATGCATGTAGTCAATTAGCATCAATAAAAATTCAATGACTTTAATAGTTTATTGTACTATTGCAAGATTTAATAGCTTGCAATTGAATATAAAGATTTTATTTGCAATTTTGATTTCATTGTTAATTTTCAATATCAATTTGATGGTATCATTATATATATATATATATATTTTTTATAGTGGAACATGCACATGGTACGTAATCTTTATTGATACGTTTATATATCCAGATAGATACCAAGTGTCTTTACAGGTTAATCGACGATCAGTTAGTACAGGATATCCATTATGTCTTTACAGTTAATCTGTAAGTTAACACTGCCTAGTACATATATTACTATAAGACTAGCTACGCTAACCACTATTATCCAACTATATGTCTATTTAAACACCAAGGAGATATGTCTACACATCAGGTGGGACTTTCGCAGAGGGGGGAATCCTATCACTAATTTAAACCCACCTAAACCTGCTGGTCTATTATTGCAGGGAGCAGTGTGTATGGAATATTATTATAGAGACTAATCCCAGAATTCCAATTATCTGTTATCGCTAATCCTCAAGATGTACCATTAGCATAACGTCGCACTACCGTTTTCACCACCTGTGGAACTGGTGTCCTTGCTTAGATTCCGATTTAATCTTATAAAACCTCACTAGATTCACTTGGTTTAATGATTTTTGTCTAATCTTCTCACCACCTGTGACTGATACCTTGTCCTTTGGCTATATGATTAAGTTCTATAGAACACCACCATTGGAATAGCTCTACAAGCTTCAGATTGGAATAGATCAGCTTAGGATTAACCTCTTTATATTGTGTAACGGAGTCTGCCATCGCCAGTTTTGGTTGGAGTTTTATGGGCTTATTACCGGAGTTAGACCAGAAGCCTTTTCTCATGCAACCTTCCTTGCTTCGACCTGTTTTCAGCCCATGATCGTTGGAAAGATCAGAGGTCCCATCTTCATGCAACCTAATTAGATTTGGAGAATTGATTGTTTGTCGGCTGATTAGCTACAACATGAATTGGAAGCCGGTCAACCAATCATGAAGATAATAAATTCTTTTGTAACCAGATAGGATTAAACCCTAAACCTTCTCCTGGTAACCTATGGAGCACTACCACTGTACTAGATGGTATCATTATATTATACTGTTTTTATAATTGTTATATATAGGTGTTTTCAACACTGTATATAAATATTTTGTTGATTTAATAAATAAAAAAAATAAAGAATATTGAAAATTTTTAAATAATTCTTGTGATACTTTAAAAACTAATTAGAAAAAAATATATATTAATATATTAATATATAATAATATAAGTAACATATAACAATATATATTTAAATTTATCAAAAAAAGATTAATAAAATAACTTTATTAGAAATTTACAATATGTGAATATACCAGTTGAAAATATTTTATTAGTTAATATAAAAAAAAAAACAAAAAAAATTTGTAAATATATATTGTATTATATAATATACAATATTATAAATTGTATTTAATTATATTTTATATTGAAAGTATATAAGAATTTATTAACTCAACTCAAAATTTATAAAAAAAAAAACTCTCTCCTAATCGCGTCCGTTTTGTTAAAAATTTTCCTTTTATGGTAATTTTAAGCAAGAAAAAA